GAGGAGGACTGCATGAAGCTGAACCCGTCCTTCGTGGGCATCGCGCTCAGCTCCCTGCTCGCTATCGACCTCTGGGCCTCCAAGCGCCTGGGCGTGTGCGCCGGGGAGGGCTCGGCCTGGGGCAGCGCCCGCCCGCTCATGAAGGTCATTGAGGTGTCGGGGCACGGCATCCCCTGGCTGCTCGGCACCTTCTACGGGCTCTGCCAGAGTGACAGCTCGGCGGCCAGGGAGGTGCTGCTCAACCTGCTCTTCGGTGAGGCGCGGGGCTCGCCCGGGGGCTGATGGAGCCGAGCGCGGGGGGTGGGACACAACGAATGGCGCAGAGCTGGTGAACCACAGCCCCGAGGGCACCTGATTTTGAGCGGCCCGTGCAGACCCATGTGGGGTGCCTGGCACCAGAGGCAGCAGCCCTGGAAATGTGGTGACACGGGTAGGGCTCACCTGTCAGAGTTCCCACCACGCACTGCGAAACTCCCGACAGCTGCACTGCTCCTGCAGTTGCACAAAGCTCTCAGGGTGATGAATGAAATATTTTAGCTCTTCAAGTTTATCAGAACATTGCATTCTAGGTGCAGCTTTCTAGTGTTGAGACACCAGCCCATTCCCTGAAAAGCTACTCTGGCACACAGACATCTGCACCCCTGGCTCCCTGCCTAGGCAGTGCCTTCGTGGATTGATGTGTATCAGCCAGTGAGGAAATTTGGTTTAATGCACGCATTTTAATCTTGCATTGTGTAATATTTCACACTCACACACACAGAGTATCCTAGGTATAGAGTCTTCATTTCTGCTCATTTAGAAACTGTAGTAGCTCCAGAGCACCAGACCTTTTCAGGTTCTTACTCTTGTATTAAGTTGCAGGTAAATAGTATCTCACACTTAGAATCTGAATTGAAATTTGCTTGGTGGGAAGTACATAGGTCTGTGCATCTTTCTCATCTAGCAGCACATGGTTAAATTACAGTCCCACAGCAGAGCTGTGAGAAAGGACCAGGAGGCCTCCAGCCTAACTTCTCCAAGGAGATCTGTGCCTGTACCAGAGCCTTGTCCAGACCTCAATACTCTGGGCCAGAGCCACCCACCTCTCTGGGGCCCTGTAGCCAGGACTGCAGCACCTGTGTGGGGAAGGAGGGTTCCCTTGTGTCCAAGCTGAATCTCCCAAATCCTATGTAAAAAGAGAAAAAGTCATTGATCTAGGTTTACATGTAGAAAAAAAATATTTATTCTGAAATGATTAACCAAAGGAAATGAACTGAAGTGACCCAAAGGTTTGGTGTCCAGAAACAAGCCTTAGGACAAGCAGAAGCTGGTCTCTTACATGACTTCCCTGGAAGAAATAGCCCTGGCTGTGAGGGTTAAGCAGAACTCACAGGGGTAGAGAAAGTACCCTCTGACCTGCACGAGAAGCTGCTCTTGCCAAATACTGGCTGAACACTTCTCACAGGTACTTTGCATCTTCTACCAGAACAGCCTTTACCTCTCAGGGTCAAGCCACTGTTACATCAATCATCCTTTAGTCATCTCTTGAAAACCACAGTTAGCTTTCCCTCCAGCAGCAGGGAGAAGCCAGACTCCAGGACCCTTGGCACCACAGCAGCTCAGAGCCCCTGACACTGAGCTGTGGCTGAGTGCTTGGAGCGGGTTGATCATTCACCCGGTAGGTTTGAACTCCAGTCACCAGGGCAGGCAGAACAATGCTGAGTCAGCACTGCCAGGAAGGGAGTTGTCCCTCTGCTGCCTTCAGGTTATGGGGCAGGTTGAGCCCAGAGTCACAGTGAGATCAGATTTTACACAAAAGCCCTGGCTGTGGCAGGCAGATGGTCTGGTGGTGCACGAGGGAGCAGAGGTTGAGGACGTGGTCACACTGCAGAAGGCCAAGTGCAGACGAGTGCTGTGCTCTCCCTGCCTGGGTGTTGCAGCCATGGGAAACAATGCCTTCTCTTAGCAGGTCTGGGCAGCCAAGCGCTTTCATCGGTAACAGCTGTGCTTTCAGTAACCCACTGCTCCTGTCTCTCGTAGCATTGCTGCTGGACCTGGTGATGGTGGCCGTGGTGAAGGGGCTGGTGAAGCGGCCACGGCCCACCCACAACAAGATGGACATGTTCGTCACCATCTCGGTGGACAAGTACTCCTTCCCCTCGGGCCACGCCACCCGCGCCGCCCTGGTCTGCCGCTTCGTCCTGCGGCACCTGGTGCTCGCTGTCCCGCTGCGCGTCCTCGTGGTGCTCTGGGCCCTCATCGTCAGCATCTCCAGGGTGATGCTGGGCAGGCACAACATGATGGACGTGCTGTTCGGGCTGGTGCTGGGCTACGCCCTGTACAGCGTGGTGGAGCACTGCTGGCTGTCCCCGCTCAACGCGCCCGCCCTCTTCGCGCTCTGGGACCACTGACAGGCGGGCTCCTCACAAAGGAGGGGCGTGCCTGGTTTCCTAAGCACGCACAAGGGAGGGGATACTGGGACTTGAACTCGCATCCTAAACCCCGATAGTCTGGCCAAGACTTGTACACGAGCGGTGCTCCAGGCTCCTGGTCTGCACTTGGATGTTTGGTGCTGTCTTGCCCTCCTGGTCAGGTGTCAGGCAGGGTCTGCACTGGCCAAACAGCTGCACTGACTGTTCTGTGACAAAAAAAACAGTCTCTGCAGAGCCTGGGGAGGGCTCAGCACATTTCACCTGGCAGCTTGCTGATGATACTGTGAATCTGCATGCTCTTGCTGGTCACTTGCAATAGCCCATGGTGTATGTGGTAGCTGTGACTTTGCAGAGGTTTGTCTACAATCACCCATGTATCTGTATTCTATAAATACACTGATCATGCTGCTGTCATAAGCATATCCTGTGCAGCCTGCTCTGTAACACCTGTCTGGAGGGGCTCGTGGGGGTCTCTCCTCAGGGTTATAAATAGCTCTGCCTTTCTAAACAATCTCTTCCCTTCTGCTCTCAGTTTAAGTACTGCACTGAGGTCAGATATTGAGCAATGAGGACACAGGCACCTGGCCCCCAGTGCCATGGGGAAAGGACAGTGGGACTGAAGGGTTGGTCCATCCAGGGGGAAGCAGCTCCCAACAGCAGCCTACTCCTGAAGCCCTTGTGCAGAGCTTCCCTGCTCCTCTTCCCCTCCATAGGATTTTCAGTTTCCCAGGGGGTACAGTGCATTCCTAGCAATTCCTGGTGGTCACCATGTTCCCAGGCTGCAGACAGCATTCTGGAGAACCAGCCCCTTCCTCACAGCCCAGCAATATGCCCTCTCCCAGGCTGCAGGGCAGCCCCAGGTCTGAGCCTTACCTGCACCTCCTGCAGGTAAGCAAGAGGCTCTGACAACCACACCTGCCCTGGCACCGTTGGTCTTTTTCACAGAGGGCTGCTTGTCCTTGGCAGGAGGGGACCACAAGGAGCCTCTGTAATGAGCTGGGGTTGAGATTGAGCCAGAAAAGCAGAAGAACCAGAGCCAGGCAGGGAGTGAAGGCTCTAGACTAAGCTTAAATAATGAGCTTAAACAGAACTCCTGGCATGTGGGTGGGGTGACTGGGTCCAGCTGAGGCTCCTTGTGGTCACTGAGGTCTCTTGATGCACTCAGGCTCTGGAAAGCACCAGTTAAGTCATATTAAGACCAGGCAGTGTTTAAGTGTGCTATTCCCCTGGGTGAACTGTGCAGGAGCAGCCTGAGGGCCATAGGCACAAGCACCCTGTTACTGTCTGTCACCCACTGTCAGTTATACAGGGGCCAAAATGAAAGTGCTTGACAGAGTTCCCCCAGAGCTGAGCCCTGACCCACCGCCAGGGTGAGCCAGTGAAACTACCAGATGTGGGTTTGTGCTCCAGTGACCAAAAAAATAATCCCCTGGGTTGCACTGCATGCCTGGCAGCCGGCTGGGCCAGTTCAGCATGTGCACGGCAGCACCTGGACACCCCGGCCAGCCCTCCTGCCCCAAGGCAGAGACGAGCCCTGTGGTGGTTGCAGGGGCACAGACAGGTGGCACACTGCAGTGTGGGTAGAGTTTGAGGTGATCAGAGCTTGTTGAGATGTTCCAGAACACCTTTGCTCTTTCCCAAACACAGGGTGCATTTCATCCAAGTGATTCTTACAGTCGTTGGGGTCTTCCTCTCCAGGTCATGGAGGAGTACAACAGCAAATCCACACACCTATGGCTTGTTCCCAAAGCCCATGTGTGTGCCAAAAGTTGCCCTTGACTCACTTGCAGGACCCTCCATGAGCTGCCTGGTGGCACCCACCAGTGCACAGCCCTTTTGGGTCACAGGCCACCTAGCCACCCTCTCACCTCTTCTCTGCATCTTCCCACCTCCACCAAAGAGACTTTGGTCTCCTCCTGTGCTTGTCATCTGTCATTGCTCCTCCAAAGATGAGTACTAACCCACTGATAAGAAGGAGGAGACTGGTGCTTTCTGCTCTGCTTGTCCCATGGCACCCTTGCCTTCTGTGGAAGCCCAGAGCAGACTCTGCCCCCCACACTATATCCTGGGTGCTTGCCAGGCATGGGGAACTGTAACTTTCCCGTGGACATCAACCAGCTGGTCTTGACCAAAATGCCATGGCATGAGCCCAAACACAGCATGGCAAAGTCCAGAGCAGTGCAACCTCCTGTAGGGAGAAGAGTAAGTTTAGAGGCAACCTGCACAAAGGTTTGATAGGACAGCAGTGAGGTTGAGAGTTCAGAGGTCTCCTGTACTTATGACCCTTGGGCAATCTGTGCAGAGCTTGCAGAAGAGCCAGAAGCCAGCTGAGAGCAGAGCAGGGAGAGTAGTACTGCCAGTGCTGCCACACTGCTGTACCCGTGCTGATCCCCCTGCCTGGTAAGATGCTTTTGATGCTTTTTGACAGGCAGGCAGAGTGCGGGTTGGCAGCTCAGCACCTCTGCCCTGGGGAGAGATCAGCCCTTGCCAACAGCAAGGTACAGAAAGAGTTTTATTAAACTTACTGCAGACATACTGTGAGGCTTAGAAGATTAAAGCCATTTCAGTTGCAGATCTTGACCCCTCTGCAGCCCTGTGCCTTGCTCAGCTCTGGGGCGAAGTTCCCTGGACATGGGAGAGCAAATTTCCCCTGCAGTCCCCAAGAGCTGTCTGGCTGAGTGTACCAGGAGCCAACAGCAAGCTCTGGATCCACATGGTCTGTGCTTCCTGCTGTCGGGGAGAGCCTTTCCCTAACTGGTCCCACCACCCTGGCACCAGTGACACTCTGACAGTGTGGTGCTCCTCGCACCAGGGTCCTGCTGGCCCCAGGACTCGGGTAGCCCACGAGTGAGCCGCGGCTATAGGGACACTGTGCCGACACGCCCAGCCCAGGGGCACAGGGGGAGTGGGCGATGCTCTGCCGGGTGTCTCTGGAGCAGATAGAGCCGCGCGTGCCTCCGGCTACCAGGATAAAC